ATCGGGCCAATGGTTCCCTGGTATAAAGAATTCCTTGTGTTTCTCGTCGAACCACGTTTCTATTAACTCGTTTGTAATTCTGTAACAAATTTACTTTGATTATATTTCTATATCAAGAATTTATCCATAGACCGTACTCACAATAGTTATCAATGGTCCTTTCTTCTTTTGAGCAAGTTTACCAAATGTGTAAGGCATAAATCCGCGGTAAACATGCCCGACGTGCGAGCACGGCACCCATAAGATGCTTCCGCCGCACTGCCATATCTTGAAAGATAGTTCGAAATTTTCTCCTCCCCAAACTAGCAATCCCTCGTCGTATCCACCCAGTGATAAAAAGTATTGTCGGTTTATCGCGAATAAACCACCAGCGTGTGTAGGTGATCTATAAATTATCACAGAGAAATAACATCAGATTAGAAATTTGGAACTAGATAATAAGATTATGTGAAATTTGAAATCAAAGTCGCACTTGTATGGCATACTGTCATGCGCACGCGTTTTGGCCTCGCGTCTGGGCAATTCATTTTCTTTGTACAGCATGCCCCATTCAAAAATTCCTCTATACAAGTGTCCTTCTTGATACACAGGACGATATTCAAAAGTCTTATGATCAACGCCATCTATCACAGGAACTGTCATTACATTTCTGAAAAAAAAAAAGAATATATTTTGACGAAAATTCGTAGAACTATATTATATTTTTTTAACAGAAAACTTAAAGATTTTATTATATTATTTTTTATTAATTTTTTATTAATATTATTTTTCTTTCAATGCAAATAAGTAGTAAATTATATCACCTATTTTCAGCAATTGGTGCTAAAAGCGGAGGCAACCAATTCACATTGACTTCACAATGTGCATCTAAAAATACTATAACTTCACCCTTGGCTTCACGCGCTCCTCGAGATCGCGTTCGTATTAAGCCCTGCCTTTCATAGTTCCTAATTAATTTGACTTTTCCTCCCCATTGCTCAATGTAAGAATCTAAATCACCCTTCAAATTGTCTGAAAAAAAATTGCATCAACTTATAATTCATGTTAATTATGGAATATTTCAAATATAGATTGTTTAATTGTATTCATATTTCATCTTAATGATACCTTTATCAGAAAAATCATCAACAAGAAGAATCTCTTCTAAGAATTTTGATGGAGTGCGATCTATGACACTATGGACAGTTCGCAGTAAAACAGACCAACCCTCATTGTGGAAAACTATAATGACACTCGTGCGTGGTAACTCCTCTGGATAATTCCAATGCCGACATCTGCGTAATATAGAAAGAAACAATAATTAAAACACAAGTAAAAAATTAATAGTCAGAAATAAAAGAAAAGACTTACTCTTCTGGCCTACTATCTGGTATTGATCTTGACAACGAGATCTCATCAGAACATACCATGTTCATACCATAATCTGATTCTGATTGCTGGACATCATTCTGCTGATCATCCCTTAAAATATGTGCTTTACCACCTTCTCCAGGACCAGTTTTAACCGATAAATCACGTGGCTCAAAATTTCCTAAACCTTCTATAAGCACTGGTACCTGTAACATTAGAAAGAAATATGTGACATATGTCTAAGATCTAAAAAAACAGTTTGGACAAATTTTATAAGCTTTATTAAAAATAAATAATTGCATCAAAAGAAAGATAAAATTACCTGTTTCTTTCCAAGACCTTGCACCCAGTATTCTTTTATATTGTTCATATGATTGTCTGAGGAGAAACTAAGCAGAATGTATAAAACTAGCAGAAAAAATGTACTACCGACCAATATGTAGAACAAGCGATTTCTTCGAAACTGTACAATCCTCATCTTTTGCAGGTTATAAAACTGAAAACAAAAATGTGGTTAAAAAAAATATTGCTTGATTGACACTTAAGATAGATGGTTCCTCTCAAAAATAGATTCTTACAATAAGGCATTTTGTTTGACGAATATACGGAGTATAATTTGATCGCTGCATGATTTATTAACACGGAACTAATTTGTCCTATTTTCAGCTAACAATTCCGTAAGATAGATAAATTAAATATGCGGTACCTTGCGTTGAAAGAAATAAACTGGAATAACGCAAAGCCGGCTCAGTGACACACATACGTCAGCGAGTTGCACGTCAATATTTATTCATTGTATCAAAACTATGCTATCTACATTTGCATAAAAGCAGTCAACGTGTCGCCAGCTCTCGCGTACTAAAAAATACGAAATAGTGTCGCTACACTCGTAGAATAGAGCGCCACATGTTCATCGCCATATTCACGCTAAAGAACTCATCGTATATAAGAATTCCAGCAGAATACGCATATTTACAACTTGAAACCATATCATTTAGTGACCCATCAATCATGAATTACTCAATTGATTTTCATTGATTAAATTTATTCTTTTTGATTACACTTTCTGTACTTTCTCTAAAATTTTCTTTTTCCGTCTTATGCCTTGAACATATATTTATCTCGTTTTAAGTACAGAAAGTTCATAGCGCAAAGCCGCGGATACAAATAATGAACCACACTTCTCTTTGTATATACAAATTTGTGACAATTTTTCTGTTCATTCATCTTTAATAGAAATGTTATCGCAGTACAGATATAAATATACATTAAATTATGCAAATCACTGTGAAAATCACGTGTCACGAGTATTTAATGAAGTTTATGATCTCAATATGTTAAGAGCCAATTGCTCGTGGACTCGTGGACTTTGACCTCTTACTTGCCAAACAAGTGTTAAAGCCATCATTTCTTCTCGATATTTTACAGAGTCAAGCCACATATAATAATCATGTCAGACACTGTTAGCCCTATTAAATATTTTCTAAGCGGTGGATTTGGAGGAGTATGTTGTGTGGTAGCTGGTCACCCTCTGGACACCATAAAGGTTAGGTTATACATTAATTGAGTAGCTTATCAAATTAAATTGAATAAAACTTGGATGTTTCTATTTTTTCTTTATGATATACGTAAACGTCATAATTTGTTCTTTTATAAGAATTATGTTCCTTTTATATAAAAGAAGAATTACTGTACATAGGTACGACTTCAGACCATGCCCATACCAAGACCTAATGAACTACCTCTGTACTCTGGTACATGGGATTGTGCTAAAAAAACAGTTACTAAAGAAGGACTACGTGGTTTATACAAGGGTATTTATGTGTTTGCATCAGATATGTCACCAAAATTGTTATACTTGAATTTTACTTTTTGAATTTTAACATCAGATATATGAAGATACCTTCGTATATCAGATATTATTAATTATACATTTTGCAATAATTATTTTATAAGTATATTTTAGATAGTAAGAGTTAAAACAAGTATATATTTAGTTAATAGAAATAACTTTTTGAACAAGAATTAGTTGATATGTATTTAGGTCATTAGAAAAACTTGTATATTTTGTAAAAAGTTATTAATTAGAACTTGTATTTCTTGTTTAGGTATGGCTGCACCATTATCTGGTGTTGCTCCAATATTTGCTATAAGTTTTTTCGGATATAGTGTTGGAAAAAAACTGCAACAAAGTGTTCCAGATGAAAAACTCACAACATTGCAATTATTTTATGCCGGTGCTTTTAGTGGAATATTTACGACAGTTATAATGGCACCTGGTGAACGCATCAAATGCCTGTTACAAATACAACATGCAGATGCTAAACCAAAATATAATGGACCTGTGGATTGCGCAAATCAATTGTATCGAGAAGGAGGCATTAGAAGTATTTACAAAGGCACCTGTGCTACATTGTTAAGAGGTATGACTATTATTTTACACTTAGATTACTTATTCTTACTTAGATTACAAAGTTTAACTGTATGCATATAAGTTTTGTATAATTTCTTAAAACAATTTTTTTATAAAAACATTCATGTATAAAGCAGAAGTTTGCAAGTAAAATTCAAATAATAATTTTCATAAAAATTTATACATATGCAATATTACTTACCTAAAATAAAGAATTAAATATCGTGTTAGAAATTAATATATTATAAAAATTTGTAATATATTTCTCTCAATTCTGCGTTTATCAACATATACATACAATTTGAAAAGAGAAATTGGCTAACTGATATTATTGTCCTCTTCAAAATTTCTTGCTTTTGAAAATTTTCCAAGATATCGTTTCTTCGGGTTTCTGCATTGTAAACCACCTTTGCGTAATGCATAAAAGACTCCCCAGTTTTGTAACCGTTCTGGTGTTGAACAGAGCGGAGCTGTCTCCTTATTTCTGTTTACCTGCAATGCATAAAATTGTTAACAAATTGCATTGTCTACAAAACAAAGTATTATTAGGTATAAATGACTGAAGTAAAAGTGGAAATAGATAAAGTATTAGTTACCAAATGAGGATTCCAACTGATCATGATGCACGTACAGTCCCAAGGATTGTCATCCAATCTGATATTTTGTATCTGTGTTTGTTTATTTGGCAATCTCAGATTTTTAAAGAAGTCCAACGATAGCGAAGTTAACTTGTTCTTTGTGAGTATGATTTCTGTCAATTTTTTCTGTTGTTGAACAGTGAATAAACCAGGCGGTATGGATTTAAGTTCATTGTCTGACAAGTCAATTCTCCTAACTTTTTCCAACCCATAGAAGGCATCCATAGAAATCTTCTGAATATGACAATGACTTAAATCCAGGTCTAACAAATTAGTAAGATCGACAAACGCATCGAAATCGACAATCGAGATGTTTCCTCGCATTTTGAGATGTGTCAACGCTGGCATTCCTTGTAAGATAAAACGTTCCAGAATAGGTATCTCTAAATTGTCCAAGTGCAGTATTTCAGCTTGCCGTAGACCTAGTAATGAATTCTTCTGTAGTTTCAATTTTGAAGCCGTTCCTCCAAGATATAATTTTATCGTGGTGTTCATAATCTCGAAAGTGCTGAAATATAAATGTATTTATTAGTATAACATTTTGTTCGCATACATTTAATCATCGAAATTTATTGGAGTTACCTTGGAAAAATGGAATCGATAGGATTTTCTGTAAAGTCAGCACTTATGAGTGCTGGGAAAGGTGGAAATGACAACTCCGACAGAAACGTTAGATTATTTTCTCTCAAATCCAAATGTTCCAACACGAGTAATCCCGCCAGATCTACGCTCTTCAACGTCAGCAATTCATTGCTTGCCAGTGACAATAATCTCAAGTTCGGTGTACCGTAAAAGCAAAATTCAGGAATAAATTTCAAGCTATTTTTCTCCAGTGAGAGATATAGAAGACTGTTGAGACCGTCGAACATGTGCCAAGATATGTCTTTCAGTGCGCAATCGTACACCCGTAAATGCGTAAGCACACCAAGTGCGGCAAAAAGTTCAACATTTTGTATATAGCCCTCCAATTCTTGCTTGTAGAGATCGTACGGCAATATCTCTTTGTCCTCACTATTTTTCTGACTCAGAAAAATAAGCCTGTGCCCTTTATGCTGGCTAGTATTGCTCACAGGCGCTTGATTGTCGTCGATTGTCTCACTTGTCTGCGAACTCATCGGTTTGATTACCAAGTTCGCTTTGTCTTTGTTCGGCGCGTTTAAGTTTGACAATTTAATTCGCTCCAAATTTAAATATAATAAAGTAGGCCCTAGAGGATGCATAGTGTCGGACGAGAGAACGATACCGCCTTTCGCTTTACGATTGCTCGCTTCTTTCATAGAAGGATCACTGTAATCTATCCCTTGAATGTCTAATGATATCAATTCGGTCAAGTGTTGGAACGTAGTAGCCTGTAGAAGAATATCAACATCTCCACTGCCCGACTCAAGCAATGTAAGAACCTGAAAGGTGAAAATACGTTAATATAAGATAAAAGCGTGTAAAATTATACGTGCCTTATGTGTATACCTGTATATCTGTAGGAAGCTTGGCCAAGAGTTCTTCAGGATTTTTGACAATCACACACGTTGCAATTTTCAACAACTCATTTGTCATGGAGTGATAATCGTTCATGTTGAAATCGATATCGTCGGATATATTCTGTCGGACACAATTATGGAAGTGAATACGAATTGACTGATCGATATTTTGATTCATTCATACCTGATCCTTGTCTTTGTTTATATCAGCCCATTGGTGTAAAGGCAGGTCAGAAAATTTCTGAATCTCACAAGTGCATCCTTGCGGGCATTTTACCTCCCACACACCACCGATATCAATAATTTGACCTGTACACTGGTCCTAAACACAGTACAGTTTCAATTATTCAATTTTATCATAAGAGAACTTTTCAAGTTTACTGCAATTAACTGATAATTGTATTATCATTTAATTAGTTTTTGTTTTATGTAATAATATTCTATCTGCTTTGATCAAGATTATTTTATATATAAGTATTAGCGTATTATATATTTTTTTACTGCGCTAATTACTTAGCACAGTAAACGGATTGCAGGAAATATCTGTTCAATTATTGACAAAATATCAAAATTTGTATGTACCAAAGACAAGATGACGATGAATAGAAAAGCAAAGATCATGTTGTTTTACTTTTCGAGCTTCGATTTTGAAGCAGAGCACAATACTTGGAACCAACAACAGCACGCCTGGCGCGAAGGAAACTGGATTTTATTAACTGTTATCTATATGCCTTGGTGCTTCCTATCAAACAGGATGCCTTCTATCTGCCAGCCCACACGCTCTACTCGCTATTATTAATTGTGCATAATGTTTATGTGCCATTTTCGGCCCGCTTAAGAATACTCGGGCGGTCACTAATTTATTGCGCTTCTAATGTTTTTTTTTTTTCAGATATTCCAGCTAGTGGAATGTACTTTTTGACATACGAATATTTAAAGGACCGATTCACTCCTGAAGGAGGGAAACTGAGTTTACTGGCTACCATAGCAGCTGGCGGCTTTGCGGGCATTGCAAACTGGTTGGTAGGGATGCCACCTGACATTTTGAAAAGTCGTTTACAAACTTGTACGTATATATTTTAATGTAGATACAAGAACAAGATACAGAGACACAATACATAAAACTCATTGCGTTATTTGTTCATACATTTCACAGCACCAGAAGGCACATACAAACGCGGCATACGCGAAGTGTTTGTTAAACTGATAAAAAACGAGGGACCACTAGCTCTTTATAAAGGCGTCGTACCTGTAATGCTACGAGCTTTTCCTGCGAACGCAGCTTGTTTCATGGGCTTCGAGATTTGTATGAAGTTTTTGAACTGGATCGCACCAAGCTTATAAGTTGCGCGATAGAATTTTTTGTGGGAACATCTCGCTTCTCAATGTTCCCGTTTTAAGCTGCGATTCAATAGATGTAAAGCGATTAATTTTATCGCGGCAGAAATAAATAGCATAAGTTTATTCTTGCCTCGCAGCTATCTGAAAGATAAATCTGAAACAGATGATATAGGTATTAGAATTATTGAAAATGTGTGAATAAGATAGTCTCATTGTATGTATGTAAGGGAAATTACATCCAAAATAGGTTTTTTGCAAATTTACTATATAGGATTTAATAAATATAAACAAATGGAAAGTATAACATCAGGGAATAAAACTTATTTTGTATTGAGTTTTATCAAATTAAAAAATATATATATATACATATCGCATCACGAATTGTGATAATAATTCCTAAGATGCATGTTGAAAGACTGTTTTTAATAATCATGGTATATGGTACAAACTTCTATATTGATGTTATAAATATATTGTATATTATACAGCTTGAATATAAAACTTTATTAACATTAACGTAACAGTATATATATATATATATATATACATTAGTTACATTCGTATTATTAAACATCATATTGCATATTAGGAAATGTAAAATCAAGATTATAATGGAAATATAATATTTTATACAAGACTTCTGAGGGAAGATCCTATATACATATAACAAACAAAACTGATGTATAATAAATATATAGATAATAAATATGTAGATAAATAATCCAACAGATTTTAATCTGATTTGCCAGAAAAATGTATGGACGCACAAAATAAAAACTTATTCTGTTATTTGTTTTCATAGCAAATTTTTTATTATCCCTATAGAAATTACGTAATTCAATTGTGAATCCATTCATCACATTGTTTTTTTCGTACTAACGTGAATTATTATAATATTAGGAAAAGATATAATTGGCAATTGTGTAAAATAAAATTTAAAGCGAAAATAGAGTTTTCATAAACACACCTCTCTATTAAATAACAAAAATAATTTTCCCAGATTTATATATTACGATTCTAGCCTCCTATTTCATCGTCGAACTTGTCGATTAAAAATTCCCCTGAGTTACACGCGAATACTGAAAGTTTAAGCCATTTGTCATGATTTTGCATTTGTTACAACAATCGCTCAACTGTATGCTACTTAATTAGTCGCCACAACAGCAGTGATCACTCTTCCCAATCATCAGTATCGGGCTGAGAGTCGTATTCACTGGTGGCGGAATTTCTGTCCGATGCGGATGCTTCATTCGGCTTCGGAGGCGGTGGTACCAGACTCGACATTCGCTCCAAAGCGCCCACCGTGGAGCCGGCGATACCTTTACGTCTCAAAGCAAGTTTCGCGTGTAGGTCAGCCATCAGATCTCCCCCGACCGATGCCGAGGACCATCGATCGCACTTCTTCTCATCCGGTACAGTAGGCCTCAATTTTGCTCTACCTATGCCGCCGGCGTCTCGAATCGCTGCCATCAAGTTGGAACGATCATCCGTTACCGTTTTTGCAGGTAGACGTTTTGTTGTTTTTTCTTTCTTATCTGAACTGTCGTTTGATGTAGGCACTGTTGATTCCACGGCTAATGGCGGCGGCGGTGGTGGCGGTGGTGGCGGCGGCGGTGGCGGTGGCGGAGATGCCATAATTTGCTGGAAATTAGTCTTTTCGTTGCTCGTGGTATTATCTGCGCTCGCGAAAAATGTGGGAGGTGGAGGTGGTGGCGGCGCAGGTTCTTGCAACGATGCGTTTGTCCTGGCAGACATGCTTTCAGTCAGAATTGGCAAGTGCGGAGCGCTATCCCGTGTGTTCTTTCCGTCACTAATTGGCGTTGGTAGATCTAGACGGACAGTAGGCGTTGTGACTGCGGACGATGGTGCAATAGGACTTTGGGAATTGAGATCAAGCACAAACTTCTCATCATCTACAATGCCTGGCAGATCCGGAAGCGTTAACGGTACGTTGATTTGAGGCACCTGAAATATACGAAGACTTTTTATAAGAATAATTCGCAGAATTATAAATTTAAAATAGGTAATACAAGTACGAGTATTTATAATTAATTATTAAATGTACGAAATAAAAATTCTGACCTCTCCAAGAGTTGGTGTATACAAGTAGCTAGAAGACGCGTCTATTTCTGATGCAAGCCACGGTTGTACAATCGAATCTGGAGCATCCTCAATTTGTTGCTTGTCAGTAGATTGACGGGATGATCTCATAGGCGTTTTTTCATATGGACTATCCATACTATCGAATAGCAGGAAGGCGCTAACTGAAGATAATTGTGATGGGAACGGTTCATCATCAATTTCAGGGTTATCTTTTTTGCTAGCCTTTGATCGAACATGATAAAATTGAAGTTTTTCTTGGAGATTGATATTTGCAGTATATTGACCATCTTCCGTCTTACAATTGGAAGATAAATATGATTCTGGAATATCCGTTATAGGCACAGAACATTTATAAACACTTGGTATAGTAGCTGCATGCTTGTACTGCGGAGGTATAGTCATTTGATACTCCTTGTAAGTATGATTAGCTGGATATTTTGCAGCCGAGTACATTTTCACTGCTTTCAGATTTAAATTAGTTTGTAAATAGTGCAATCTGTCTTCTAGCTTCCTAGCTCTTTCTTTAATGCTGGTTAGTCTGGTATAAAAATAAATTTATCTTGTTAAATATCACCATCAAATGTTTAAACAAATGTCAGAGTTAAATTATATTATCAAGGTAATAAATGTCGTTATAATATAAAAAGCCAAGAAACAAATACAATTTTTTTTTTTTACCTTTGTGTATTTTCTGAAAGTCTCCTATCAATACAATCAAATATATATGAGACTGCATCACCCAAGTTGTCCAGAGCTTCCGTTATTTGAACTATAGTTTCCTCATGTCTCAAATTGTTTGGAATAATACCTATAATTAAAAAAATTCAATTATTAGTTGTAATTCTCAATCAGACTTTTTATGTTTCTGTTTAATCTGATTCAATCGTTAGATTAGGTTATGTTACAGAGAGTAAACAAAAATAATACAAATACGCAAATTTGCGCATTGTAAATAAAATGTGTATTATAAGAATTAAAAGAGTTACATACCGATTTCGATTCGTTCGGGCATCTTGGTCCCAAAGAGTCGAAAATAATTATATCACAATGCGATAATATATACACATATCCTCGTGAAGTGTTACAAAAGTCAATATATTTATACAGACATATTTATATATATATACATATGAAGATCTTATAAGTCCCGGTGATTATATATCTCGGTTATATAATTTATGGCATTGGTTTAAATCACACATTTCTAAAAATCGTATTCAACAAGGAAATGTTCTGAAATGATACATAATCAGTAATAGAGACGCGGTTTTGTACCATAATTGAGAGGATAATACACAAAATCGAGAGAGTAGTACTGTTTTTATAAGTTATTAAATATTATTCAATTTTAAAGTAATAAAACAAAACAATGCTAATCTTTGAAAATCTTTTAAAAATTTTATAAGCACTTTGATACTGTTAAAATCAAATGAGATATGATTAAGAATCGTATAATCATCTTATTGGAGCTATTACCTGACTTTTAATATTTAATTAACAAATTATTAACAATTGGGTTTTTAAATTTTACAAAAAATACCTTCCAAGAACCTTAAGAAAGAATGACGTGTGAATTGTTTGATAACTTTATCAGTATTCTAACCTAACCCTAACCTAACACTGTCAAAAGTACTCTAGAAGCGAAAATAAGCGTGCAGTTACTCGTTGGAACAGCCCGAGACAATCGATTTTAGCCAGCGTTTTGAAAAAGAGTTAACAGGAGCACAGGATGATATAGGAGCTCGCACGCGACTAGCAGTGCCGATGGTAAGTGTACTGATGGTAAGTGCTCTCTGATGGTAAATGTAGATCGACAACATCTTCGCCTTTCTGTGATCCTAATAACAATTAGCTAAATTCCGACCATTTCGAGCTCCCATAGAAAGCCGGAATCTCTCTATAATCACTTATACTGGCATCTTAAAATCCAATATAATCTTCTTTGACGCTGTGTACCGATAAAATGGCCAATATTTTATTAAAAGCGGCAGAATTTTATAAAGATAATTTCTTTTGGAGCCTATAATAATTAATTTTTTTCTTCTAATTAATTTTTTTTCACTTCTTCACGCACATATTGAGAACAATAAAATGCTCAAAAAATTATAAAATACTTTGTACATGTTGCATAAGGTATCTAGATGATTTTTAATGCTTATATAATGACAGAAGTAATTTTTTATAAAGTTTATAATGCCAATTGTTAATAATTCAATTAAATTAATTAAATTTTCAAAGTCGGGTTCCTAGCTTCAATAAGATGATTATACGATTCTTAATAATTTCTTAATCGGATTTATTAAAGTATTAAAGTGCTTATAAAATTTTAGACAGATTAATATTGTTTTGTTTCATTATTTCAAAGTTGACTTATATTTAATTATTTATAAAATTAATCAGAGGTAAATAATAAAATATTTTTCATTTTTTGAATTTTTTGCCTTCTAATATACGTAACTTATAATATTTTTTATGTATCTGGATTAATTTTAATGGTCAATGTGTAAAAAAAAAGATACTTGAAATAAAATAGTTTAATTGTATAAATTTTAAAGAAATTATTGATTAAATACTGAACACATTTTTACAAGAACATAAAAACTTTATTATGGTCCGTAATATCAGGTATAGCGATTACATTTACGTTATGCAGAATTTAATATTTGAATATTTACCTTAGTAGAATATTTACGCAAGATTTTTTTATAAATGTATATCTTTCCTTCTACGTGATTTCGATGAAATATTCGATGATTTGTTTTTGATTGAGTGAAACTATTATGTGAATTGATTAATTAATCGCGACAATTGCGAAATCTTTGCGACGATTGTTGTATCTATCAGCAGTAAAATACAGAAACATCGATTATTGGACGGACTATACACATTTGTTATACAATGAAATGACGAACGAGATATTTAGCAATTAGACGATCAACTTAAACATAAAACATACAGCTTGATTCATTAAAATGTTACACATATTTACAGAATAGATTAATCTCGATACACATACACACAAAGTACACAGGTATATTACACACAGATATTATCTGCGTATTTCCGATCGAAATATCAGAATTAGTGCAAACAAACTCATTTCAAGCACGTTAAATGCTGTCGAACACTCTTAGAAAACTAAACTTAAACTTTCCGTCGAAAATAGGAGTTAAGTTTCATATACTTCTTAATTATCTGATTATTTAATTTATTCTTTAATTACTTTTTCTATAAATCTCTAGAGAAAAGTTAACAACAATCTTTTTCTTTAGTAACAATTAAAGAAGACAAACATGATTATTTAGAAAAGCGATTAGTTTGATTCTGAATTTTATTTATTCTAGTAAGAAAAATGGCATTTATCGCGAAATTAAGTAGAATTAAAATCATATAGCTTTCGATGTATACAAGATCAAGACTCACGATCGAGACACTCAATATTCGAGATATTCAGAAGTGCGTCGAACTATGTTATGAAAAACTTTATTTTCTCTAAATGTTTAATAAAGATATATATATTTAGATAGGTACTATATTAGAAAATAAATATCGCAGAACACAAAAGTACTTCGGAGTAGTAACAAGCACACGCAATTGCTCAGGCACGGAAGGAGAACGTTAGGATTCTAATCATTAGCGAAGGAATCGAAATACACACCTGTCCGAGTTGATTGTATCGATGTCAATTAGTGTCAATTAAGTCGGCTTCGGTTAACGAAATTTTCTCTCCGCCTATATTATACAGATAGATAGCTTAGAAAGAGGTAGCGGATCGCTAACCGAAGTTAACCGATCCAAAATGCCGAGTTGCTCAGCTACGCGCACAGAGCGTGCAACGATTGACCGATCGGACATATGCAGTTCAATTATATCACAGAAATGGAACTCTCCATTTCGCTCGCAGTCTTTTTCTCGTCGCCGTCATTGTTGTCGTCGTCATCATGAGGATGGCGATCGTTGACCTGTTCGTCGGAGACTAGAGACGTGTCCTTCGATAGGATCAAGGAGTCTTCGCCGATGGGCGCGGCGGCCTCGACTAGATTTTCGACGGACGCCGCCGTCGTCGGTTCCTCGTAGCGGAAGTTGCGACGCAGTGAATGTTGCGTTCTCATCGTGCCCCTGCGTATGCTGCTACGCAGCAGATTCGCCACATCAGCGGCCGTCAGGTTCGAGCCGGACAGAATTGCGGTGTTCGGCCGGCGACTTCGATCGAGCATCGAATGAGTGCGCTCGATCACGCGCGATCTCTCCGCTATACCGATCCTGTTGACGCGGTCAATGGTGTTCGGCCGATGCCGAAGCTCCGCCGCTGCGTCCACTATACCCTGTCGACTGCTTCCGGTGTTCGTCACGTCCGGCTGTGGTTCCGACAACACGTGGATCGAGACGTGATCGCGCGACAACGGTACGCCGCTTTGATTCATCTCCACCAACACGGTTGCATAATCTGGCGGTGGCGGCTGCAAGGTCGATCTTTGTCGCGGCGCGCTGCTCTCACCGAGGACGTTCGCGATCCTTCGCACACTCCGCCGAAAACTCTGCCGCAACATCTTCGCGATTCGCGCGCCGGTTGCCGTGGTGTAGCTCGGCGGCGGTGTGTACTTCGGCGGTGGATCTTCGAAAGGTATCTCCAGGGGAGCAGTAGGCAAGATCCCATTGCCGTGCAAGCTGGCGCCAGTATCATTACCGACCTGGGTCTGCGCGTCACGAGGATCCTCCGGTTCCAGTGGCGGCCGATAAAGCAACTGAATTCTCTGCAAAGAAATTATTCCATTAATAATGAAATATAAAGATCGCTCTATTAAAGATGGATATTATATTTTCTGTTACTGTCTTGCCTATTGTTACTCTTACAGCAACAATAATGCCAGATAATATCACTATACACAAATATTGTAATATTAATGTGAAAGAAATTGATGAAAAACTTACGCCGTTACACTGTTCGCAGTGATTTACTGTTACTTCCACCTGTTCATTCTATTGTCAGCAAGGACAGAAAGATAGCGTGAAGAATGTTAGTGATCGGTGATGTGTGTTAATACAACATATAGATTATGAGAGAGAAGGATACGATTATGTCAACGTAAAAAGATAATTGCGAGAAAAGCATTTAAATATTTGGAAACAAATATCCAACTATCTTCTACGTGACATTATTGTTGTTTGATGACCATTGTTTGAGATTTTACTGCCTTTTTTAATCACGTGCTTCTCATTCTAATCTATTTTCCGGCACTGAAAAGTTTCAATTTCAACAACGAAACCACTTACATCGAATATATCGGGTGGTCCGCTGTTCAAGTATCGACATGTCTGTATGACAGCCACTGCCGGTATTATTAATATCGGTATCAGCTGAATCGACGCTCCGAGTTGCCTCGACCACACAGCCCAGTAATCTCTACGACGATACGAGTACAATTCCCGGAAGCCGCTGCTCTTGAATATTGTGATACTAAGAACCTGCGACATAAAATAACGCGATGACACATGTTTTGCGGCGCGATTGCGACCAGATAACTCGCCGCGTCCATTAATGATTAACTTACGATTAAAGTGATGGGGAGAATGACGTTCCAGGTGAAGGATAACAAAGGTCCGGCCCAATACTTAAGGCATCGTCCAGTCGATGGGAACAATTCGGCGACGACCGCCTCGCCGGTATGCGGACGTCCACGGACCGCAAACACGGCGCCGATTTGAATTAAATACAAGATAATTATCCACCATACCCCTCCAACGGTGTAATCGAGATAGTATACGACGTAAATACCCATCTGCAAACAAACAGAAATACGTGTTAAAGATAAAACGCAGCGATGGTTGCACTTTCATTAGAATTAACGAAACTGTTATATTTAAAAGAAAAATAGCTATTCTTATCGTTATTAATCAAAATTCAAATTACAATTTATTGTCATTGCAAAATTTATCATTTAAATATATGCTCATTAGAATGTTTACCATTTATTATTACGAAGTTATTATCATTAAAATTGTTAAAAATATTAAGCTACACCAGTGACACTGTCGAAGCACTTGTCCTCACATCCTTCACTTGTACATCCAAAAACATAACGTTATTCTTGGTGTAAGCAGAGTATCTGCTCAGTACAGTGTGCGGAATAAACATGTACAGCCCAGATTCCTTATCAGGATCTGAGTCATCCTTATCTCGTCCAACAGTTTTGACAATTTTTTTAACGTCGTTCGCGGGATTGTCTTGATCTCGAAGAATCACGACAGCTCTAAGCACGCAAGGCCAATCCAGTAAGGGATCCCACTTGCCGTTTTCCACGCGCAAGCACCCGATAATATGACGGTCCTTCCACTGCCCTTTGCCGTTCAGATATAATTTCATTCTTAGAGTGTAACCGTACGCCTTGTCGTAAAATATCGGACTGTAGAGCGCGCAATCGTTCTCCCTTGCCTCGTTCATTTTTTCCTTGTAACGATCGATTCGCCATATAATGCGGCCATTCGTCGAGGCGTTTTCCGCGCCTTCGCAGGAACAAGAAGTCGACAAGGGTTCCGGTCTGCAATTCTCCACGATTAACTCTTCGACATATTTCAGATTCTCCTTCATTTGAAACTTTAAACCTTTTATGTCCGACTTCTGTCTAGCCACGTTTTCGGATTGCTTACGAATTTCTTCTAACAAACTGTCCACCTTTCCCGATAAGATGTCATGCTTAGATGTCACTTCCTTCGAATCCTTACATCTCATTTCCAATTCCAGTTTCAAGTCGTTAACGCGCTGTGAATATTCTTGCCATATATCGCTCGCGCGTATGCTGTCTTTAGCCACAAACGTCTTCAGATCTTTCAATTCTTTAAACCAATCGTTCGGTACGCGCTTCTGCTTGCTTTGCTCGCCGTTTAATCCGCTCTCGAGCAACATTAGCCGTTCGGAGATTTGTTGAAAAGTCAAACTGGTGCAATGCTGCATATTGTCGGTAATCATCTCCAGATCGTTTAATCTCTGATTCGATATTGCATCGTGACTGCGAGATTCCTCAGCCACTTCCGCGACATTCAGTCGCAGCGCAGCGAGAGATTCTTGCTGAGAATGCAGCAAGCTCAAGTTTCTCGAGAGATCATCTTCCAAGCGGATCCGCTCCTTTTCTCCCTGATCGATTGCTAAACGCAATAACGTTAACACCGTGAACACTTTTTCCTTCCACACCGAATCTTGAATCTCCTTTATTTGACTATTTCTCTTCGACATTTTCTTGTTGCATGCTTTCTGGTGTGCTTCCAGTTTTCTGCGCGGAATGTAAACCCCGCATTTATTGGGACACTCCTCCAAAACCGCCGCGCAATGTATTACATGCTCCGTTAAGTACTTTTCCTCCAAAAATTCATTGCAAAAGTAGCAAGGCACATTACGATGCACCACATGAACGTTATTACTCATCTTTCGTTTCAACATGGACGCACTTGTGATACTGTGTAATATACGCCGTGGGGAACTAAAGCTCGCGCTGATAACAATTCTCTGGGTAAATGATAGATTGCGCGCTCTATCTGATAAGAACAGTTGGGAAACTTTATATGAAGTCAGAGATAATGTTACAAATTGTGCGGGTACTTATTTTTTATTAATATACCGTATAAATTAAAATGCGGCATGTGTGCGGCACATGCTCGTACTTAATGACATAAATATTAGGATATCAGTGATGTAATCGAGTAATCATGCTTATTCAATTACATCTTTAGATATATAAGACGATAAATCCACGAAAAAGAGTCATTGTCTTTAACTTAATTGAGATAATTCTAAAGAATTCAGACGTACCTCCGTGGCCATAGGCAATCCAAGTATGTAAGCACAAATGCAGCTGAAAAGCGTGATGGTGGTCTCCCACTGTTTCATCATTTTTGTGTTGATTGCCATTATACCGGTTATTACACAATGCCAGATCGCCAACTGCAACGTCAACGAAATATAAGCGACGTTACCATTATATAATCTTTGCACACAAACAAATAACACGGTAATCAAGTTTATAGGTGTACACGTTGCTCGGAGTCTCATTCATGATTTCTTATTAATCAATTAACGGAAAAAACTGTATTACCTGCTGCGCGATGCCAAATAAAATGAGAATGAAGTAAAACAGGATCGCCCAGAACGGCGACACCTCTTCGGTGCCTAGCAATGCCAGCGTCGCAGGTACCAATTCGGTGGCTAGTCGCAACACCTGGTATCCGGACTCGGTATTGGTATCCGCGCCGGGTCGAGTTACACGTTGACCGAGGAGAAACGATGCGTGAGACATGAATCTCTCCGGTGTAGTGCTATATCCCAGCGGTGCTGGCTGATCCCCTCCGATAACCCTCATAAATTGCATCCTTGATGGATCTTCTGTGAAATCCAAGAATGATAACAACACGCGTGAATACGCGCCGCGTATTAATCCAATCCGTCGCAAGCAATATGAAACGGTTGTACTCACCGAAAGAACTAGTGATATAGAAATAGTCGCGAACCCTGAGGATGTGCACGCAGGTATTTGCCAGGAAAGCCGTGAGAAGAAGGACCATAACTGTCAGGATTATTACGAAAGTCGTATCTCGACGCAGGAGATGCTTGTGCTTATTATGAGCCGCTATCTGAAATTGACGGTATTCGAATGAGACACCGCGATTAAAGTGTTACGAGCGAGTTACAAACCCAATTGAGCGATAACGAAGCGAGTCGAAGAAAGTAATTATACCGTTAAATAATTGTCATATAATTATCGGCGATACCTGCATAGCGGCCGCGCCGAGTAAGCCCCATGTGAGGAAGACCTCATTCGAGGCAGCCACCCATGACTTTCCATTAATGAAGAATTCGCTCCAGACGGTGGCGGGGAAAAATTGCATCGTCTCCAGAGAAGTGTTTCCTAGCAGTTTTATGCAAAGAACTAACGTGCCAAATACGGGCACTAGTGTGAAGACGTACACGACTTTTCCATAGGATCTCAGACCTAAATAAAACAAAATAATAAACATTAAATTTTACGATGCGTTGCGACTCGTACATTTCACAAAACTCAATACTAATAGAATTTTCTCTTTCTAACATGAAATATAAATATAAATAAATGCTCGTTAATGCATATCTCAACATTTTTAAAAGATTAAATCTCTTTTTTATTTTCTACAAAAATCGGTAGAACATAAAATTAATTCATGAAAAATTGAGAAATTATCGCCGGTGATCGATAAGAAATCTTTGTCAAACTTCTAAATTGATTTTGTTGGAAAGAAAAAGATTTACCTTTACTCAGTGAAACAAATACAATCATCCATACAACAGCTAAGTTGAAAGCCACTTGAAACGTTAAGGTGACGCCGGAATCGTTCTCGTTTAAGTGGCGTCTTTGCAGCACATTTATGCTGAAGTAGTTCGGAACGGTCTCGTATAATTTGTACGAGGTGTTAAGTGTAGAATGGCTGTCGTCTTCCTTAGCCCATCGATACTTATCCTGCTTCGTTATAAACGAATCTCTGCAATCAATGCAACAACCACGCGTTTTGTTCTACTTAATCAATACGGCATAGCATTATATGAATAAGTGATGCAATGAGTCAATTAATACGATAAATGTGTCTAACATTGTTTCTAAAAATAAACCTGTAGTTGTTATTTTATCTCTATCTATTTATTTAGGATAGTTCTATTTAATTTTGCTCAAATTTCTATCGTTGCGTAGAATTGATTTTTTAATAAATCTATTAACAAGCTTTAATTTGTCGTAGTTAAAAAGAGAGTCGTTAATTACTATATAGATTTAATTACTAACACATTTTCTGATTCAGCTTACGCTCTATCACATTTCGACCGCTATATTATATGAAATAATTAATTTCATAAAAATATATATTTTGATACAATTGAATATCAAAATGTACCTGAAATACATAAACATCCATGATATGCCAACTATACTGTAGATACCGATGAAAGCCTGTGCGATAAGCAGCGCTATTCCAACACCTTGAAAAAGCGGCGAAATTTTCCACATATCCACAGAACCAGCCGCCAGTCTTTGTCCGAGACATACTTGTAATGTTAATAACGGGATGCCCATTACGAGAGATAAAATCAGGAACTGCATAATAAAGTTTGCTGTAAAAAAGAAAAACATCGTAAATAAAATGATTAGATTTTCTAGGATGAAGAAAGTGTTCGTGATTGTTTGCGATTGTACATTGTTACATGTCAAACGTGTGAAAGATTAATTGTTTTCTTCAATAAAAATCAATTATTACTTGTAGTCTCGGGATTAATTATTGTCTTGAGAAAACACAGTATGAATTACTGTCAACGAGCGGTAATTGTGGAGCTGTTGTTTATCTCGAAAGAATATATAATAATTTTTGTTTGTCCATTTATAGAATTGTTCTGTAAGAGAATTCACAACATTCCCGTGTTAAAACCTGTGTTACTCGATAAATTTCAGCGTTGTAGATATATAAATTTGGCCAGTCATAAATAAATATTGGAATTACACTCTCGCACGTCCAAAGCATTGACATCCGATATCTCATTGAAACAAGACCGGTTTCAGTGACTATTCCAAAAAAATTATGCATGCGAAATTTGGTATACATTAAAGTTACACTTTGTCTTATATTTTGCACAGTCACTCGCATGTCGTATCATGACAAAATGTAGTTTGGTAGAATTTCAATGGAGTTTTTATAACGCTTTTTATTATTTTCTTAATATTTTTCCAACACGCACACTCACCTCCAAATTGTACACTAAGAATGGCAAATCTACTGATATTAAAAAGTCCCAGGGTGCAGCCGAGGCACGCAAAGGACGAACTGAGGGTGTGCGGCCACTTCCCCAGAGAATTCTCGTCCTCGTCATCATCCTCGCCTCTATCATTGTGTCTATCGACGTCTCTTTGCCTCTCGCATGTCCTGGAAGCAAAGTAGAAAAATACACAATTATTAATATGAACCTTTGATTCTATAGCGTTGTCTAAATTCAACAAACTGAAAATTTTTGGTTCTATTAAATGCAAAAAAATACAACCTCGCTTTCAATTTATTTTAATATTATTCTTGTAATTAAGATAAAAAATATAAAGGTAAATAACCTACACTCAAAAAAATATTTCGCTGATGTAGTTAGATTTCTAGATATCGCAACAAGAATGTATCGCTATTTTTCGAATCTGTGAAAACATTGTTTGTCACATATAGAATTTATAGCAGTAATGTTAGCAATAGTTTCTGAAAAATTTAGGTACCATTGCTAAATGTTATTCATTGCATGATCTAACACGTGATTGATCTTATATAGATAGGCGCTTTAGAGAAACTTTCTTTTTAAAGTTTACAAACAATACAGATATATATTCTGTTTCTGTCATCTAAACTGATTAAGTAATTACATATGCAATATCACAACAGTTGCTAATCATTTATCTGTTTTAGTTAATTTTTTACACCTAGAAAATTTTAGCTATTATTACAAGATCATTGTTTGAGTGCATAGGATAAATATTACTGAAAATATAAAGGTAAATAATCTGCAGGATAGATATTACAAGGGAAACACCAGACGTGGCTTCCTCCGATTTCATCGAGTCTGATATATATTATAATCCTACCCTCTCATTACCCATAATGGTAAAATAATATGACCCAACTCTGAAGCATTCGCAAGAAAAACGTGAATTTTATTTGAATTTAATTTAACAATTATTTAATTCATTTATTTGCTTATACAATAAAAGTTATGTAATTATAATTTATTTAATTTTAAGTTTTGTTATGCAATAAACATTTTATAACACAAAAAAAAGTATACAAAGGAAGTCGATAAGAAAATTTGAATCATTTTTTACGTTTAAAACACATAAGATTTTTATTTCTAATAATCAAAATCTATTTATTCGTCTTCGGAATTAAATTCATTGTCGGATAGATTACATGTTTTGAAGTGGATATTTATCGTAGAAACATTGAAAACATAATATTTTTGTATAATGAGCGTATTAAATAAAACCTACATTTTTACAAACGTATTTTTCACTTTTTTACTTTTTACACTATACGTGGTATGCTCCGAACGCTAGCTCTTTCTCGATGCAACTGAACCCAATGATCTGTTGGAAAACTGAATCCAAAAGTATCACACAAAAAGAACAAGTTCTCAGGTAGCACACCTATAAGACAACAACAGATGCCCTTAGCAGAAAGGGATTTTCTAGACAGTCAAAATTCCCTGCTGATACAAAAATAAATGTAAATGTAAATGTAATCATGGTAAAAATAAAAAGATTAAAAATTTGTTTATTGCATAACAAAACTTAAAACAAATTATAATTACATAACTTTTATTGCGTAGCAAATAAATAATGAATTAAATAATTTTTAAATTGAATTTAAATAAAATTCACGTTTCTCTCGCTTGAGTTATTGAGAGCATCGTATTATTTTCCATGGATTAGTAGGAGGATAGAATCAGTACCGGTTTTACCACTAGACATCATAGACAAATGCTTAGGGGCGTCACGAGAGAAGGGGACGCCCATCCGTCGCTAAAAACAATGAACGATTTAAACAATTGCGAAATGAAACAAGTTTTCTTTATGTGGAAATTGATCAAACAATTTTTACAAATAAAAATAATTTCCAAATTGAAAATGAGATCAATGTATGTAATTTTCGTACACTTTAGTATCTCGAATCCGAGATCAGTGTACACTTTAATAATGTCTCTAGTAGACAAATTAAGTTTCTATATGAAAACATTAATAATTTTCGTACTAACATCCAGCGATGGCTCGAGATGTCTTTTAATATATATTAATTTAATATTATTTTATTCATTTAAATTTATATTTTTCATATTTTATTTCTTTGCTCTTGTTTTTGTTTACGAAGTGAATAAAAATTTAAAAAATTTAACATGATTTTCACTTATTTAATACCTTCCCATCTTAAATTAAAAAATGCAAAGGGCGCACCGAAATATTGCCTAGGGGCGAATTGATTCTAAAACCGGCACTGGGTAGGACTATAATATATGTCAGACTCGACGAAATCGGAGGGGACCTTGTGTTCCTCTTATCGTAAAATATTTGTGGTAGATACAATTCCGACACGTTATATTGCATATTTCTCGATTTCTGATTACGGTCTGTAAGTTGACGCTGTCTGCGGTCAGGTCGATCTGCTGTGAAACTAGGTCGAACGCAATTTTATCGCGTGTTGGCGTTTGAATACGGAAAAAGTCTTGACGTCTAACAAACTTATGCGTTTTATTTTCCAACAAAGTGTATATATTTAGTTAAGTAATTTATTTCGCAATCTCAAAATCAAGCTAAAATCGGCAAAAGTGGAAGATATTTGTAGTCTAACATGATTGCTATAACAGATAATTGTAAGTGGTAAGAGAAATCCAATAAGGTAATTGCTGGTGTGATACACGAAGAGAATCAATAATGAATTATGTGCCGCGAGCTTTAGCTAGTACTTAATATAATTATTCCAGCAAGGTTTAAATCACATACGACGGCACACACACTTCATACATCACGTGGTAATGGCGATAACAAATCAACCATAAGATCGATACCGTTATCACGCGCGGAATATAGAAACAAAATAGGAAAGATCAAACACTGCAATGATTGTTGTCATCAAAGCGGAAATCTCTCTATTCGGAGCGTTGCAAGTTTTATCAATGAATTATTGCGTCAAAAAAGCTCGCATCGTTTATTAAATAAATTTGCACAATCCACTTATCAATCTTTACGCAGAATAAATTCTTTGTGTATGTAAACGTTCATATATTTTTTATAAGAATGAAGAAAAACGCAGCAATATCTTTTGTAATCATACGTGAATGGAAAATGCAATATCGTGGCATATTTTATTTCACAATCGTTCTAAAAAATATCATTTCTTTAAAGAAAGGTCATTCTATCAAAAGGATTATAGATACAAGTAACGAATGCTTCACAAATGTTATTCGACTTGCCGGTTTCTAGATGCCGGTTCATAGATTATTTAACTGTATAAATATGTTGATCGAGATACTTTACGCCATGTATTACCATAAGACGTGAATAATTTTGAAACTTCATCGTCGACTGACCAGATAAAATAGATGGGAAATCGCATGTCATTAGTTGCACCACACGGGAATGGCAAATTCACATCAAGTGCATGCAAATGGCATGTCTATACAATGAAGAAGAAATATTCCGGACTAATATCTGTATAACACAGTTTATGTAAGACAGATAGTGTATGCTTCCATTGATCAATTATACCATGCGTTATACCATTAAGCCCTTTGACATATACGATATCATTATCTTGAGAAGACAATATAAATTGCATATTCTTATGCTAATAATAAATTAGTAATACAACTTAATCTTTAAATTCTTATTCTTTAAAATATGTAAGCATATAAATAGCATCAGTTAAAAATTTAATTAAAAACTTACGATTCCATTTAACTATGACAAATTAAATTTCACTGTGGACTTTATTTGCTACTAGAAGACTTTAATAGGGAATTAACTTTAACAGGAAAAAGACGGTGCAACTACATCTTAGAAATGGCTTACAAAGACGTAAAGTTCATCAAAATTACACGCCAATGCGATAAAGAATGAAGATATCGAAGAGAAGTTTTAATATTTCAAAAAACGATAAAATTCTTTTCGTCATTATCAACGCGAGAAAGTATGTCCGACGTTGATTGACGTCATGGTCATTTCGAACAACACGAAACGCAAATCCGAAGGTTATCGAAGACCCTCGAAATACCAAAAGGTGGACGGTTGGCGGCAAGATCGATACGCGACCCACCGTGGTCACCGCTAATGACCGCGAACCCCGAACGCAAACTGTTCTATAACTGATGCAACTTGTGATTAGGCGCACGCGAACGCCACTCTTGACACGAGATAGCCATACGGTTTCTTTTTCTTTCTCTTCCTCTTACCGTTTGGCTCGATGTGGTTTCGAGCCCGGTTCGCGTGGGTCAGTTCGGTCGATTGAGGCTTGGTCACGTTGATGAAAATATCCCGCAAAATAATTAAATTGGTAGGCTGTCTTTGAATAACATTGTGATCGGACGCGAAAAGAATGCAAATTAAATTACATCGGTCAAAATAATTCTTCGTATTTGACGCAAAATATATATTTACATGTGTTATTATTAATTATCGATATTTTTAATTACAGAATTTCCCATTGCAAAACTTAATAATATAAGCTGGATTAGTAAAAGATCATTTTTAAAAGGTAACATTGTAAATATTAATTTAAGATGACATTTTTTAGCACGTAGCTAGAATTTGATATCTGATTTTTATTTACTCATATTTGCCGATCTGGAAAATGGAAAATCTCATTTGACAAGAGTGTGTTGAAGCAAATTCCGTTTCGTAGACGTTTATTTATTTAATTAGAAAGTATTCTCATCAGAATTTTATCAATTCACGTGACAAAATGTTACCATCAATTCGTTTATATTAATCTGACGAAATTTACAAAACCTCTCAAGGATATCCGATTAGAGAACAAAATTAGAAACCTGAGTAATTTCAATGATATTGCGGAGATCTAGGCTAAATCCCACGTACGATCAATGAATTATTCTTTAATTAGTTCGAAGCAGTTATTAATATCTTAATTAAACAACGTTTACAATCATTTGATTATAGTTTTCTTCGATGTTTTATCCTTCGGTAAAAATAAAAAAAATTTCAAATTCTTATCGCGAATTGAATAAAGATTTTATGTTATTGTTTCCATTGTCATATTATCACATTTATGTAATTATGTTAAAAATAATTATATTAAAAATGTAAAATAAGTAATTGTTTTACTATTATATCATTTGTACGCTTAATTCATTTGTACGCAACCATTTCACAAGCAATAATGTG